AGGTTGTTTGACTTCTTCTTGCTATGGTATTGCAAATGTTCTATAAACTTAAGTCCAAAAGTAGGTATTTTTAGATTTATCTTGCTTTTTGGATGGGTTTCTGTATAGATGGAGTACCTACTTTTCAAGTTGATCAACAATCAGGCTACTAAGTTCATGGCCCGTAAATCAATTATTAGATCATTGGAGGAGAATTTTCCACCTTTGAGGTTGGGGTTCACTGTTATTTTTGTTGTGTTTTTCTCTTTTTTTTATTTGGTTACATTAGTGTAGACATTTAATTTTTCAGTGGATCTTTCTGCGTCATGCTTTCTTAGTGGATGCTGAGCAGAAAAAAGAATTTTCCTTTTCTTTTGGACCAATTTATGCACTTTCCTTACCTCATGTATTTGAACTTTGGAGTTATTAAGTATTGATAAAATTAATAAATAAGTTTTGATAATTATCAAGTTTGCCTCTTTTCTTCAAGTTTGAATGAAAATTCATTCTATATTCCTCTTTTAATTTATAGTTGAACACATAACCAAAATAGGATTTGATGGATGTGGAGTCACTTACAAGTTACAACGCGGTTAAGATAGATTGTCTTTCCTTTTGTTTATTTCTTTTAACATATGTTGTGCTTGCAGAGAAGGAGAACTTGTGTTTGTATGGACTACCAAATGAGACATGGGAAGTTAACCTGCCTGTTGAGGAGGTTCCTCCTGAACTGCCCGAGCCAGCATTAGGTATAAACTTTGCTAGGGATGGGATGCAGGAGAAGGACTGGTTGTCACTGGTTGCAGTTCACAGTGATTCATGGTTGCTTGCTGTTGCATTCTATTTTGGTGCACGCTTTGGGTTTGGTAAGAATGAAAGGTACGAACTTGGTTTTCCTCTGTATTTGTATAACCTATATTGTAAAATTTTAATTAAAACAACTCACCTCTTAAACATATCCTATTATCAATTGGGAAATGCACAGGCTGTATTGATGAGTTATCTTCTTTTTGTTATCATATGTAATATTTCTATGTAGCACCTAGTATAGAATATAATTATTCATCCTTAGTTATTCTTCTGCAAACATATTGAAACTTTGTTTAAAAATTTATCCATAGTCTGTAGTAATGAGATCACGCTGTTGTTTGGTGTATTGAATTTTATATCTTAGTTCTTACAGAATTTTTTCTACTTTAACAACAGTTGTAGAGCCCCAATTTATTATTATTATTTTTAAATTTCCGTATTACAATCTCTAATGACAGTTTTCAAAAGCAGTAGGGAAAAGATTTACCTGCCATATGAAACATCGAGTCAGCACTTTCTGTTGACATATCTATCAACTGAATACTATATGTCTTTTTAGTATCAGTTCGTGCAGGTTGTGGTATCTTATTATTGATAGTTACCTTGCATATGATGTGCTAAGCTGTTTACATATTTTGTATGCATGTTTGAATAAGTTAGTTTATCCATGTATGACATTATCTGGCTGGTTAAAGTAAAGAAGATCAAGAAGTTCTCTTTAAAGCTAATTCATAAATTTAATGCATATACTTATAAAAACCTAGTTTTCTACCTCCTCCTTTTTCTTTCTAGGCTATTCCAAGGAAGATGCTTATCATTTGTTTGCTATCCTCAGGGTTTATATAGCCTATCCGTTAAATACTAGCATTTGATTATGTTGAAGAATCAACTAATGCTAGGTATGTGGCAATACTGATAGATTTCTTGCGTGGACTGTGTTCAAGCAGATGAAATTGGAGGTCCCTTTCTGCTTCCTAATATTCTGCTCTTTGTTGTACAGAAACGTCGTTTAATATAAGATATCTGCATACACTTTAGGTGGTGCTTTTTTCACTGGTGCCACTGCAAGGCCTCTTTTAGGCTGCATTGGAAGCCAGGGAATTTCTTTATTGCGTGGTCTACAAAGGTTGCCACCGTATTCCTTGGCCTAATTAAGTATTCCTGGTTGTTTCTTGGAGCAATCGGCTGCCTCTTTTGCCACCTTTTGATTCAGGATGCTAAAGCGGTTTTAACAATCGATAATTGGATTTTTCAAACAACCCTTCTGCGGTTCTGCAACCAAACTGCTTAGAATAAGTCTCACTGTCCTTTCATTTATGAAGGCTTCTATCTTTTTTCTTTTAGTAATTTTCAAGGCTTTCCAGTCTTCATATCTAAGTAGCCTCACCTTTATGCTATGATCTACCTGCATTAGACAAGTGCTGACATGCGAGAATGATAGACGAACTGAGAAGAGATAGTTATGGTATTTTTATCTGTACCTGATGACATTTATGGTTTTTTCTTCTGTTGAGAAGAGATTTAATTTCTTATGATATAGGAAAGAGTAATGCTATGTAGATCAACATTTTAGACCAAATTTGCAAGCAATGTACTGTGTCACCAATAGGAAATAAGCACGTTAATGAACACTTAAGTAATAATCCAATCGTCAACAACCACATCATAATGGTCTACGAATTTTGGTCTAAATAATTGGTCTCCCTAGCATTACCCTATAGGAAATTGGTGGCTGGGATTCAATTTGGCTTGACCTTCTCAGAGATCACTGTCTGAGAAATTTCATTGCTTGGCTACCTGAAAATCCTTAAATTACAATTGTTTTACTGTGATATCTCGAGATATACAAGCATGTGTGTGTGTGTGTGTGTGGATGTGTATGTATAGGTATGTATTCCTGTATGTGCAGGGAACTTGGGGGGTTTAGTTAATTTGCGTAACTATATCGATACTGATTTCAGATAATCTTACTCCGTCTACTTCCAATCTATTTTCCTCATTTTTGGCTGACTGTCATTGAATATTCCTCTGGATACCTTACAGGCCTAGCCTTGAATCTTGTCTGAAGAGTGAAGACACATAGTTTGATGTCTGCATTGTTATGAATTATTTACCTTAACATACATCTGTGATGTTTGGCTATTGTCTACAATCATGTTTGCTTGGTAATTATGGGTATTCTGAAGATATCCTAGAGATTGAGAATGCCATAAAGAAGTGTTGTGCAAACTTCTTTTTCTTGGGTCGGTGGTGTGGGAACTGATTGCAGATGAATAAATTATTGGGATTAAAGTTGACTTGCAAAATTATAATTTCAACTTAATAATTTTATGATTAATAGTTTCAATTCAGTACCAGTTGTATCTAATCCCTAAGGTGTTGGATGAGTGGATTGCTTTGTTATTGATGGGATTGAGAATGTCAGAGTAGAGCCGTTCATGCTGTAGGATAAGGAAATATACCCTTTCTGCAAAAGCCAAGTGATGGGAGCTAAGTTTGTCTGAAGCTTTAGTGGATAATATCATGTGAAGGTGGTTCTAATTTCATGTGGCTTTGAAACTTGCAGGAAGAGGCTTTTTCAGATGATAAATGATCTCCCCACCATATTTGAAGTTGTGACAGGAAACGCTAAGCAACCAAAAGACCAGTCTACTCCTCCCAACAACAGTAGCAAGAACAAATCCAGTGGAAAGGTGGTAAGCAGTGGACTAGTTTGCATGATATGATTTTGTTTTTGTGTTTATACATCTTCCTTCTTTAGCCTTTGTTTTCACCTTATAATTAATCCTAGCTCTTTCTTTGTTGGTGCTGCCTTTAAGCAGTCTCGGCAGTCTGAGCCCCTGCAGAGCAAAGGAGTGAAAATGTCGCCGCTGCCCAAAGAGGAGGATGAAAGCGGGGAAGAAGAAGAAGAAGATGATGAACAAGGAGCGACTTGCGGGGCATGTGGAGACAATTATGGGGCTGATGAGTTCTGGATTTGCTGTGATGTGTGCGAAAGATGGTTCCATGGAAAATGTGTAAAGATTACACCCGCAAAGGCTGAGCATATCAAGCAGTACAAGTGCCCAAGTTGCAGTAGCAAGAGGGCTAGAGTTTAAATGTAGGTTCCGAATGTGGAGAAGAAACACCAATCAAAGAAAGCAGATGAGGGTTTACAACTATCATTACAATTTGGAGTAAAATAGAGTCAGTTGTCTATCTTAGTTGATGAATTTGAATGATTGGAAATGGGATTCTTCTAAGTTTTGCTACTCCTTGCTATTGTTCTGTCAAGTTTTCTCAGGAATTTGTTTCTAATATGAATAGTAAGCTATACATATGTCCGTGCAGTCTCCTGGTTTGATTTTTGATGCATCTATTGGACGTGTTTATTTATGCATGATTACGTGCTGTTTGCAGTGCAGCTTACATGCTTTGTTGTCCTTGCTGTTTTCTAATTTTCTTGGCTAGTTTTATGTTTTAGTGGTACTAGTACAATAACGTGTTTTATAAGAAAGCACAGATGTTGAGCGAGTTCTTTGTGCAGTCGTGGAGTATCTGTGAATGCTGCCCTTCGGGTAAGTTTCTCCAAGAAATCTAGTTGTGCCGGAGGATTTGGCTTGGTTGCTGCTGCACCCAAGTCTGGGGAATGAGTGGATGTGCCACATTTGTATCATGGTTTTAAGAAATTGCTGTGCTGAGTCGGGAGTGAAGGCTTTGGTTGTTGCAAACAAGAGGTGCTCCAACGTAAGGATCTCCTAGTGTGGCTGGAAAGGTCGGTCTTTGATTAAGCAGTTTCTCTTGATTGAGCAAGTGACGAGCGAGCGCAGATGCATGCTTCTCCCCGTCTGACTGAGGAAGGCGGGGTGGGGTTGGGGCTCTACACTGAATCGCCGATGAATTGAAGAGAGTTTCTTGTTTACCAAAGAATGAAAAAGAGACGGACTCGGTTTCTTTTATTTTTTTTCTTTTGAAGTTGTGTGATGATGAAAGGTATCTCTGTCTTTGCACAATTCAGAACATAGGGCCCTGTCTGATGCAGTTCAAAATTGCACATATGTTTTCCTTTTTCCTGTGTTGTCCTTTCCTTGTAATTATATGCCTAAAACCCATAATTTCGCGTGCACGTTACCATATTACGTTGTACATTTTAACATTGAACACCAAACAACAACGCAGGCACTCCCTTGGTACTATTTAATTAATTCGCATGCACCACTCGATCGCATTCATTCCATAATGGCATCAATTATCAATCAATTATGGATGTTAAAAGTCAGTACAGCGTTTTCGAGTAAACATGCGTTGCGTGCAGCCATTTTCTTACTAATACGCAATCCTCAACAAACTAATACACACCCCGGTGTGGTGCCACAATGGCTGTACCCCTCACCAGTCCGTCACCAGCGTAAATGCCGCCTAATATGAACACGTTGGTGATCCTCGGCGAAAATCCATGACAACCAGAGTAGCAGCGCCATGTGCAAGTGCGCCTAGCACAACAAAGACGTGGAAGACCTGATGGCTGTGCCCTACAACATCAAACTTGCCCGGCTTCCACCGTTCTGGTATCCTAGTCACATAGAATGCTGCTCCTGAAGCATATAAAATGGCCATAGCAAGTTCATATGCCAGAGCAACGATTATATGTTGATGGCCCCAATTGATAACTAGGGCATGAAGCGCAGGAATGACTCCGGAGAAGCCCATCGAGAGGAAAAGGGTAGCCCTAAAAGAGCGGAAACGGGGTGCAGAGAGACTAGGGGAAAGAAGGGTAACGATGACAAGGATCCCGAGCAGAGATATGGAAGAAAGGTAGAAAAAGCGAGAGTAAGGGTTGCAGGAGAAGGCATAGTAAATGGGAGCAAAGAAAGAAGAGACGATCATAAGAGAGATGCCGGCATAGTCTAGGCGCCAGAAGAAAAAATTGAAGCATTTAGAGTGACAAGCCAAGAGGTGGGAAAGGGAGCTGCAAACCAAGCATCCCATAGCCCCACTTAGGAACACAAGCCACGGCCACATTGGAAGTAGAATACCATCGTAATCAACTTCTTGCTTCGCACTCGCATTCACATTCGCATGAATGATTGATGATGCATGTCTCTCTGAGTCCTGCCTCCCAAACAACAAAAAGACCACACATATAAGCACATGTTTAAAAGCGCTTTTAAATAACTTATGCAATTTCAGGAAGCACTAATAATGAATTTAACCTTGGTCAATTTGACTTCTTTTTTTTTTGTCTAATATTCTAGTTAACCAAGGGTACATTTATTTTTGTCTTCTTTTACAAAATATGATTAATGAGAAAAGCAATAATAATGAATTTAAAAAAGAACAATACGATAATTGTAAACTAGTTCATTTTAGGTTATTTCGGTATTTACCATTTTGATCTGCTAATACTAATTGCATTTGTATGCACTCTAGCATGTGGTACTTCTCTCCATAAATCTAAGTAAGAAATTTGAGATTTAGAAGTCTACTAAATCCAAATAATGATTCCTATTTATTTATGTTTACCTATATATAAAGCCAGAGGCCCAATTTGGGGTCACGGCTTCGACAAAACTGATATGACCAAATTACCCCTCAACCAAAAAAATCCAAATGCAATTCAATATAATATATCAAATAATGCAAGGGTGATTTGGTAATTTGATTAGCATAAAATATAATATAAGTTTAAGTAGGAAGAGAAAAGAATAAAAAAATGGAAGAATGATTGAAAGTTGATGTTGCCCGAAAGGGAAAGAAAAATATAATAAAAAAATAAAGAAAATCATGAATATTGTGTTCAAAACATCTTAACATAAGTATAATGCCGGTTATAAAAAAAAAGTGATTCGCACGCAAATAATAATGTGATTAAATAAGTTATCAATGATTATTTTTTTTTTTAACAAACGATATTATCTATACTAAAGAGAATGTGGGCTTAACCCCACAATAGACTAGCAATAATGTAATTCAATCAATTATTTATTAAATGTAAATTATATAGAAAGGATTATGAGGGATTTCTTCTAGCATAATTCAATAAATACATTTAAAACAGATAAATCACGCATATGTCGTGATTCAAAAAATGCCTTCTGCACACAAATGTGCGTGTGCACGAAGACTAGTTTATTGAATAAGAAAGCACAAAACAAATGGAAGCGTATAGAAAAAAAAAAACTTTTGTACGCACTAGCAAAGGGTACAGACTTTGTGAGACCCACACCACGCGTCGTATTGATTATTTTGATTCCATTGTCGCGTGAAGGACAAAAGTTATTCCCAACTCCCGAAAACAAATGTTAAATAATATTTAAAAAGAAAAAAGAGACTGACCGGCGAACAAGGAAGAAATGCGTTTACATTGTGAGAGGAGGAGACATTGATCAAGGGTCCAGGAACCGCAACAGCCCTGCCATATTTACCCACCAAACAGAAAGCAGCAGCAACAGTGAGTGAGTCGTTGTCCGTCAAGGTGATGAGCGTCAGTCCCAGGAATATGAAGAACCCCACCAAGTGGCTGCAGCACAAGTAATTATAAGTAGGCCAATTTCTTAATGAATTCAATATGATGACTAATTTGCAGGTAGTTGGGCAGAACTAAGTAAGTAATTGAGTTAATTGAATAGAGGATGATGACGATATATAAATGAGGGAAAATGAAAGGAGGAGGGAGAGAGATGCGTACGTACGTCCAGATGTTGAGGGTTTCGTTGTGGAAGGCAAAGACGCTGAACAAGAGATCCTTCAAGGGCCACTCGCATCTGTAATGGTCCAATATGTACTCGTTGTCTTTCATGTAGGGCGGAAGCTCTTCCAACTTTCTCAACCTCGTCGTCTCGGTCGTCTTCTTCTTCCTGCTATTACTGGTGCTACTACTGCCCCACCACTCCATTCGCTTCCCGTGATTGCACATGAAAACACACACTCTCTGTCTCTCTCTTTTTTCTTCTTGTTCCAATTTCGTATTTCGTGTCTGGCCTCTCTCTCTCTTTCTTGTCCGATTTATATATGGATTATACGGAATTGGATTCAATCGGATTCTCACATTTTAATCATTTATTATCGTGAGTTAAAAATTATTTGATTTTTTTATTTAAAATTAAACATAAATAATATCTGACAAAAATTAATTGTAAAATATACGATAAAGGGTTAAAATGTGATCACAAAATGGATCCGGAGACTATCCCTTTCCGGATTATCCACCTCCAAGTAATTTTTTACTTTTCTTTTGTAAAAGGGAGTAAGTAAGAGTAAGGAAGTGGGTGGGCTGCTTTCTTACGTGTCACTTGGCTGGTTAGACTTTGAATTCAAACTAAACCAATGTCAAAGGAGTTGAGCTAGCTCTGCTGCCCTACTCTCTAGCTTTGCAAAAAACGTGGAATTAATTACCTGGAAATCTATAAAACGTGGAATTAATTACCTGGAAATCTATCTGTCTATTATTATTATTTCTTATATTTTATTCCATTCGCATCAAATATTATTCAAATTTGGTGCAAGGCGGAGAAATGTAATTTGTGTGATCATGACTCATGAGCATATATATATATATATATATATATATATATATATATATATATATATATATATATACACACACACATGATATTGAAGCCATTTTTCTTTCTTGGTTGCGTGCTAACAAATATATGCACCCAACTGACAAGTATATTTTCCTTATTCAACACAACTTTCAAATGCATTTGGATTCTAGAATCATATGGTATGATTGCCCTCAGGAGCGATGTTAGAAAGTTAGTTCACGGGACCACAACTAAGCAATGATGGATATAGGTAATGAAGAAAGAGAGAAATCATATATAAGAGGGCAGTGCAACATTTCTGAAATAGCATCAGCACACTGCTTCCAGCAACATCCGGAAAAGCACTTCTGCTGAGACTTAATAATAATTTTAAATCAGATAGATTGAACCTTGGGCAACAACAGAGAGACCTTCACAAATGATAGACACTCCTGTTGTGTATAATTATGGTGACTTTCTTATTATTCTCGACTCACGATAGAAAAAGAAATAATTTCGTCTTTCCTTCCCTCCTTCCCTGGTACTGTGAATTTAACTTCCTTCTGGATCTTAGGTATGGGTGTCACAACATTACATGACCAACCATTTAGTTTAAACTTCTCCTGCATCACTACACCCAGTATACAAAACATGTCCAAGCCAAGAGCCAATGCATTTACAAGGAGGGCAGGGCAAGGCAAGAGAGCAAAACATGTCTAAAGCATAAAGTTTCATTCACTTTATAATCCTTGTTTTAACATTATTCATCCAATTCAAAACAGTATCCATCCATCTCAATTCTCAAGGGATATGACTAAAAAGCATTGTACACTCTAAAGACAATCTAATACATGGTGTTCACAACTAATTGGACAACTTACTTGGTATCAAAGCTTCTCTCCTAAATCAGAAAAATTCCCCAATTAGGTTGCTGAGAATGAGAGTGCAGTAATCTACCTGTACAATGCAATAGGCTGGCCGAAAAGCCAAAGATATTGCTTTGGCATGTTGCCATGTTGGCATAGTTGCCCAGAGCATTAGCAATTTGGTTTGTCAGTGTCCTCATTAGCATGAAAATGACAAATTAACGAAACCCATTACCAATAGTCTCTGCAAGAACATACCCCATCACTGCAACAGTGGAACCTGTTATTATCCCTCATATTGAGGGCTGCATGGTGATCCCAGCACACCCTCAGATTCTTAACCACCCTAATCACTGCCTCTGCATCTGTACCAAGAAGATGAGTATTCTGTTTACTTAGTAGCTGAGTATTTTCTTAGTTACTATAAATAGGATTCTTGTAAGAGGAGAAAGGCTATTATTGTAGTCATTTCTGAAATACAAGGTTACTTTTACTGTACAATTGAGAAACAAGTAGAGAGGGTCTAACAAGTAGTATAAGAAAAAAGTTAAAGATCAGTAGTGGTATATTGAGGTCAAAATTTCATGACGTCCGACTATTAACATGTATTCAATATTTTCAAACAGTGCAAGTGGCCCTTTACCACAATGGTGGAAAGGTGTTGAGCCCTTGCACGAAGGCATGGGTTTAAACCCCGTTGGTGGCTAATCTAATAAAATCTATCGTTTGACCAAAAAAAATTCAATCAGTGATATGTCGAGATAAGTAGCACCGCCTAAACCATAATCCATAAGGAACTCATCAAACACATAGTACACAATGTACTTGGCTGACCTAACAACGGAAGATATTGCTTTGGCATGCTGGCCTAGTTGCACAAACATATAAAAAAGCATTGTCATCTGGTAGACTTGGAATTAACAAAAAAAGCCGTAGTTAAAGATGATATAGCATTTCAATTCATATTCCATTCATACACAGGCAAATGTACATGAAGATGAGAATTTGATGATCAAATGGGGAATATAGGGAGGTAAAAACATGGTATCCAACAAGACTTACCCTCATCCTGCCCTTCCCTCAAGCCAAAAGAATCACCGATACGTTTTTCTCTTTCACTAGTCTAGACTCTGCTTTCTGCATTATCAAAATCATCATCTCCATAACTGAATTGTAAATAATAATTGAACAGAAGGAAAGGTAAATTTGAAGATTTTACATCATTATTGGCAACCTTCGCAGAGAAACAAGTGAAGGTTGAGATTGCAATTCTAGCTACCTTAGCCTTGTGCCTGAAACTGAAGCTGAAATGATGACCTGAGACAAGATAAACATAGGCAATTAAGCAAACAACAACAACAACAACAACAACAAAGCCTTTTCCCACTAAGTGGGGTCGGCTATATGAATCCTAGAACGCCATTGCGCTCGGTTTTGTGTCATGTCCTCCGTTAGATCCAAGTACTCTAAGTTTTTTCTTAGAGTCTCTTCCAAAGTTGTCCTAGGTCTTCCTCTACCCCTTCGGCCCTGAACCTCTGTCCCGTAGTCACATCTTCGAACCGGAGCGTCAGTCGGCCTTCTTTGCACATGTTCAAAATCACCGGAGCCGATTTTCTCTCATATTTCCTACAATTTCGGCTACTCCTACTTTACCTCGGATATCCTCATTCCCAATCTTATCCTTTCTCGTGTGCCCACACATCCCACGAAGCATCCTCATCTCCGCTACACCCATTTTGTGTACGTGTTGATGCTTCACCACCCAACATTCTGTGCCATACAACATCGCTAGCCTTATTGTCGTCCTATAAAATTTTCCCTTGAGCTTCAGTGGCCTACGACGGTCACACAACACGCCGGATGCACTCTTTCCATCCAGCTCGTATTCTATGGTTGAGATCTCCATCTAATTCTCCGTTCTTCTTGCAAGATAGATCCTAGGTAGCGAAAACGATCGCTTTTTGTGATCTTCGCTAGATTGCTCCGGTCATTAGTGTGGATAAGTATATAAATGGATAGAGATAGGAAAGCAAACACAAAGATGTACGTGGTTCACCCAGATTGGCTACGTCCACGGAATAAAAGAGTTCTCATTAATTGTGAAGGGTTTACACAAGTACATAGGTTCAAGCTCTCATTTAGTGAGTATAAGTGAATGATTTAGTACAAATGACATTAGGAAATATTGTGGGAGAATGATCTCGTAATCACGAAACTTCTAAGTATCGGAGTGTGGTGTCGTCTTGACTTGCCTTATCTGTCTCATAGGTAGATGTGGCATCTTCTCTGGAAGTACTCTTCCTCCATCCAGGGGTGGTATCTTTAACTGGTGGAGATGCACAAGGTAATGTATCAATTTCACTTGAAGCTTACTTGTAGTTTCAGGCTTGGTCAAGCGCGATACAAACCATGTAGTAGGAGTCCCCCCCCAAGTCGCCGAGCTAGGGGGTCTGCTGAAAGAGGTGACAGACAAGGTAAGCAATCAGAGCTCCGACTGATTGTTCACCTTCTCCCCATCTTGCAGCAGCATGAAGGATAAAGAGAAGAAAATGAGAAGAGATGATATGAGATACTTTTGCTTTTGAAGAAGTAACTTTCCACAGGCTTATTCTTGAACTGAGCTGGAGGGTTTTCTGGTTTCCTCCAGAGTATAAGGCCGACTGAAGAATTTGAGGGTCAAAACAAGTCCATCAAATCTAGAGTACGTTCCACCCTGCTGATATGGGATACTTTTGCTTTTGACAGAGTAATGAATGTATCGGCACGTGTGCTGTTACGCTTGTCTCCACATGCTTCCTTGTATCCTTCGCACTTGCCCTATCTGTTCCTCAAGCAGATGCGGAATCTTCCCTGGAAACATAAGATGTTGAAGATGAGTACTCGAGAGCAATGCCAGGTAAGTGATCAGGTAAGGGGTTCCAGGCAGTCAGTTCCTGGCTGGAAGCTTGATTCCAAGTGCTGACTGATTGCTCTCTTTCTCCTTGTCTTGCAGGTAAAAACAAGGCCAAAAAAGAAAAGACAGGGAAAAAGCATGATATGGGATACTCTTGCTTTTAACCCTGATGATATGAGATATTCTTGCTCTAGTATAGCTTGTTTGCAGAGGTATTATCGGGGGGAAAGAAAGCTGAATATTTCGAAAGGCTTCGTTGGGAGTGCCCTCTCAGATATGATGAAGGGTTGAGCATTTTTGCAGGTCTGCCTGTCCGTTGGGGATGGAGGTCGACATATATAGGAGTCTCCCTAACAACAAGTAGTAATGCTATTCCTTTACCCTGCTTGGTCATAGCACGGTAGTGGGAGCTGCCAGTTTCACATGTTTTAACTCTGTCAGAGCACTTTGAAAAAGTGGTCTGTGGTATCTGGCTCTCGAGATTCGGAGAACGATGCCTCTTCGATTTTTGAGAAAGCAATCATGCTGGGGGTATGACTCTCGAGATTCGGAGAGCAATGTCTCTTCGATTTTTGAGGAAGTAATCATGTTGGGAGTCTGGCTCTCGAGATTCGGAGGGCGGTGCCTCTTCGATTTTGGAGCAAGCAATCTTGTTGGGAGTGTTGTCTCGAATGTGAGTAAAGGTTGGGCATGTTTGCTAGTCTACCTTGCCACGAAGCACAAAGGTTGACACACACAGGGACTTTCCAATTATCCAGCAATGGTACTGTTCCTTTACCCTCTCTTCGATTTTTGAGAAAGTAGTCATGTTGGGAGTCTGGCTCTCGAGATTCGAAGGACGGTGCCTCTTCGATTTTGGAGCAAGCAATCTTATTGGGAGTGTTTTCTCGAATGTGAGTAAAGGTTGGGCATGTTTGCTAGTCTACCTTGCCACGAAGCACAGAGGTTGACACACAGGGACTTTCCAATTATCCAGCAGTGGTACTGTTCCTTTACAGTTGTGGGTAATAATATGGTAGCTAGACCTTCAAAATTTATGTGTCTAAACTTTTGTTAGTGCTGTTTCTTTGCTATTCTTTTACCTTTCTTGGTCAGAGCGATGTAGTGGGAGCTGCAAGCTTCACGTGCTCAACTTTGGCAGAGAACTTTGACAAAGTTATTTGTGGTACCCATGAGCTATTGTTGCGTGTGGGAAGTGGGTGATTGAACAGTAAGATTCATGTGCTTTCTACTTCACCAGAAGTCTTCGACAGAATGCCCATAATTTCTGCAAAGCAGAGTGTGCGTGTGACAGGTGCTGACAAGGCTAGAAAAGTAGGTGCCTCTTCGATTTCTGAGATCGGCCCTCGTGGTCTCTGAGCAGCCCAGCTTTTGAGAAAGCGAGCGCCTCTTCGATTGATTCGGAGAACGATGCCTCATCGATTTTTGAGAAAGCAATCATGCTGGGGGTCTGGCTCTCGAGATTCGGGGAGCAGTGTCTCTTCGTTTTTTGAGAAAGTAATCATGTTGGGAGTCTGGCTCTCGAGATTCGGAGGACGGTGCCTCTTCGATTTTGGAGCAAGCAATCTTGTTGGGAGTGTTTTCTCGAATGTGAGTAAAGGTTGGGCAAGTTTGCTAGTCTACCTTGCCACGAAGCACAGAGGTTGACACACAGGGACTTTCCAATTATCCAGCAATGGTACTGTTCCTTTACCCTCTCTTCGATTTTTAAGAAAGTAGTCATGTTGGGAGTCTGGCTCTCGAGATTCGGAGGACGGTGCCTCTTCGATTTTGGAGCAAGCAATCTTATTGGGAGTGTTTTCTCGAATGTGAGTAAAGGTTGGGCATGTTTGCTAGTCTACCTTGCCACGAAGCACAGAGGTTAACACACAGGGACTTTCCAATTATCCAGCAGTGGTACTGTTCCTTTACCCTTGTGGGTAATAATATGGTAGCTAGACCTTCAAAATTTATGGGTCTAAACTTTGTTAGTGCTGTTTCTTTGCTATTCTTTTACCCTTCTTGGTCAGAGCGATGTAGTGGGAGCTGCAAGCTTCACGTGCTCAACTTTGGCAGATAACTTTGGCAGATAACTTTGGCAAAGTTATCTGTGGTACCCATGAGCTATTGTTGCGTGTGGGAAGTGGGTGATTGAACAGTAAGATTCATGTGTTTTCTACTTCCCCAGAAGTCTTTGACAGAATGCCCATAATTTCCGCAAAACTGAGTGTGCGTGTGACAGGTGCTGACAAGGCTGGAAAAGGCTGGAAAAGTAGGTGCCTCTTCGATTTCTGAGATCGGCCCTCGTGGTCTCTGGGGAGCCCAGCTTTTGAGAAAGCGAGCGCATCTTCGATTTTTGAGATCGGCCTTCGTGGTCTTTGAGCAGCCCAACTTTTGAGAAAGCAAACGCCTCTTCGATTTCTGAGATCAACCCTCGTGATCTCTAAGCAGCCTAGCTTTTGAGAAAGCAAACGCCTCTTCGATTTCTGAGCAGGCGCCTCTTCGATTTCTGAAGCTTCGTCGAGTGCAGATTTTTATAGGGGCTGGCATTAAGTTCCAAAGCACACTTGAATCTCCACCAGTAGAAGCTTCATTCTTGCACTTCTAAGATCTTGATTTGTCCGACCTCTTCTCTCTTCAACACCTTTGAAAATGTCTGGCCCCTCCGACCGTCGTTTTGACTTGAACCTTGTTGAAGAGGCAGCCCCGCCTTCTCCAGACAACATATGGCGCCCATCCTTCGTCTCCCCTACTGGTCCTCTTACCGTTGGGGATTCCGTGATGAAGAATGATATGACCGCTGCGGTGGTGGCCAGGAACCTTCTCACTCCCAAAGATAACAGACTACTTTCCAAACGGTCTGATGAGTTAGCTGTTAAGGATTCGCTGGCTCTCAGTGTTCAGTGTGCAGGTTCTGTGTCTAATATGGCCCAACGCCTATTTGCTCGAACCCGCCAAGTTGAATCATTGGCGGCTGAAGTGATGAGTCTCAAACAGGAGATTAGAGGGCTCAAGCATGAGAATAAACAGTTGCACCGGCTCGCACATGACTATGCTACAAACATGAAGAGGAAGCTTGACCAGATGAAGGAAACTGATGGTCAGGTTTTACTTGATCATCAGAGATTTGTGGGTTTGTTCCAAAGGCATTTATTGCCTTCGTCTTCTGGGGCTGTACCGCGTAATGAAGCTCCAAATGATCAACCTCTGATGCCTCCTCCTTCTAGGGTTCTGTCCAGTACTGAGGCTCCAAATGATCCCCCTCCGGTGCCTTCTCTTTCTGGGGCTCTACCGACTGCTGAGACTTCTCCTAAGCAACCTTTGTGAAGGCTCCCTCTTGTGTGTTTATTTTGACTCATGTATATATACATATTTGTAGCTTATCGGGGATATCAATAAATAAGCTTTCCTTCATTTCAACGTATTGTGTTAAATACACCAAAGCCTTCTTCGCTAAGCTCTTTGAATTTTCTTTTGTTGAAGCTTGTATGTTGAAGCTTTCTGAGTGGAGCATGTAGGTTGGGGTAGTGTTCCCTTAATTTTCCGAGTGAGGAAAACTTCTCGGTTGGAGACTTGGAAAATCCAAGTCACTGAGTGGGATCGGCTATATGAATCTTAGAACGCCATTGTGCTCGATCCTGTGTCATGTCCTTCGTTAGATCCAAGTACTCTAAGTCTTTTCTTAGAGTCTCTTCCAAAGTTTTCCTAGGTCTTCCTCTACCCCTTCGGCCCTGAACCTCTGTCCCATAGTCGCATCTTCTAATCGGAGCGTCAATAGGCCTTCTTTGCACATGTCCAAACCACCGTAACCGATTTTCTCTCATCTTTCCTTCAATTTCGGCTACTCCTACTTTACCCCGGAAATCCTCATTCCTAATCTTATCCTTTCTCGTGTGCCCACACATCCAACGAAGCATCCTCATCTCCGCTACACCCATTTTGTGTACGTGTTGATGTTTCACCGCCCAACATTCTGTGCCATACAGCATCGCCGGCCTTATTGCCGTCCTATAAAATTTTCCCTTGAGCTTCAGTGGCATACGGCGGTCACATAACACGCCGGATGCACTCTTCCACTTCATCCATCCAGCTTGTATTCTATGGTTGAGATCTCCATCTAATTCTCCGTTCTTTTGCAAGATAGATCCTAGGTAACGAAAACGGTCGCTCTTTGGTATTTCTTGATCTCCGATCCTCACCCCTAACTCGTTTTGGCCTCCATTTGCACTGAACTTGCACTCCATATATTCTGTCTTTGATCGGCTTAGGCGAAGACCTTTAGATTCCAACACTTCTCTCCAAAGGTTAAGCTTTGCATTTACCCCTTCCTGAGTTTCATCTATCAACACTATATCGTCTGCGAACAGCATACACCAAGGAATATCATCTTGAATATGTCCTGTTAACTCATCCATTACCAACGCAAAAAGGTAAGGACTTAAGGATGAGCCTTGATGTAATCCTACAGTTATGGGAAAGCTTTCGGTTTGTCCTTCATGAGTTCTTACGGCAGTCTTTGCTCCTTCATACATATCCTTTATAGCTTGGATATATGCTACTCGTACTCCTTTCTTCTCTAAAATCCTCCAAAGAATGTCTCTTGGGACCCTATCATACGCTTTTTCCAAATCTATAAAGACCATGTGTAAATCCTTTTTTCCCATCTCTATATCTTTCCATCAATCTTCGTAAGAGATAGATTGCCTCCATGGTTGAGCGCCCTGGCATGAACCCGAATTGGTTGTCCGAAACCCGTGTCTCTTGCCTCAATCTATGCTCAATGACTCTCTCCCAGAGCTTCATTGTATGACTCATTAGCTTAATACCCCTATAGTTCATGCAATTTTGTACGTCGCCCTTATTCTTGTAGATAGGCACCAAAGTGCTCGTTCGCCACTCATTTGGCATCTTCTTCGTTTTCAAAATCCTATTGAAAAGGTCAGTGAGCCATGTTATACCTGTCTCTCCCAAAAGTTTCCACACTTCGATTGGTATATCGTCTGGGCCTATTGCTTTTTTATGCTTCATCTTCTTCAAAGCTACAACCACTTCTTCCTTCCGGATTCGACGATAAAAAGAGTAGTTTCTACACTCTTCTGAGTTACTCAACTCCCCTAAAGAAGCACTCATTTCATGTCCTTCATTGAAGAGATTATGAAAATAACCTCTCCATCTGTCTTTAACCGCGTTTTCTGTAGCAAGAACCTTTCCATCATCATCCTTGATGCACCTCACTTGGTTTAGGTCCCTTGTCTTCTTTTCCCTTGCTCTAGATAGTTTATAGATATCCAACTCTCCTTCTTTGGTATCTAGTCGTTTATACATATCGTCGTAAGCCGCTAACTTAGCTTCTCTGACAGCTTTCTTCGCCTCTTGCTTCGCTTTTCTATACCTTTCACCATTTTCATCGGTCCTCTCCTTGTATAAGGCTTTACAACATTCCTTCTTAGCCTTCACCTTTGTTTGTACCTCCTCATTCCACCACCAAGATTCCTTTTGGTGTGGGGCAAAGCCCTTGGACTCTCCTAATACCTCTTTTGCTACTTTTCGGATACAACTAGCCATGGAATCCCACATTTGGCTAGCTTCCCCCTCTCTATCCCACACACATTGGGTGATTACCTTCTCTTTGAAAATGGCTTGTTTTTCTTCTTTTAGATTCCACCATCTAGTCCTTGGGCACTTCCAAGTCTTGTTCTTTTGTCTTACTCTTTTGATATGTACATCCATCACCAACAAGCGATGTTGATTAGTCACGCTCTCTCCTGGTATAACTTTGCAATCCTTACAAGTTATACGATCCCCTTTCCTCATTAGAAGAAAATCTATTTGTGTTTTTGACGACCCACTCTTGTAGGTGATCACATGTTCTTCTCTCTTCTTAAAGAAGGTGTTGGCTAAGAAGAGATCATATGTCATTGCAAAATCCAAGATAGCTTCCCCATCCTCGTTTCTCTCCCCAAAACCATGGCCACCATGAAAACCTCCATAGTTGCCTGTCTCCCTGCCCACGTGTCCATTTAAATCTCCTCCTATAAATAACTTCTCCGTCTGAGCAATTCCTTGCACCAAGTCTCCAAGATCTTCCCAAAATTTCTCCTTCGAACTCGTATCCCAACCCTACTTGAGGTGCGTACGCACTAATCACATTGATAAGTTCTTGTCCTATTACAATCTTGATTGCCATGATTCTATCTCCTACCCTCTTGACATCTACAACATCTTGTACCAAGGTCTTGTCCACGATGATGCCAACACCGTTTCTCGTTCTATTTGTGCCCGAATACCAAAGTTTAAACCCTGAGTTTTCTAGATCCTTTGCCTTACTACCAACCCACTTAGTTTTCTTGTAGGCACATAATATTTATCCTTCTCCTCACCATAACTTCCACTACTTCCATAGATTTTCCCGTTAAGGTTCCTATATTCCACGTTCCTAAACGCATTTTGCTCTCTTGAACTCTACCCTTCTGTCCTAGCTTCTTCACCCTCCCCCGTCTAATAGGATCAAAGTACTTCTTTTGTGTGTCCCGGGTAAAGTTGATAGGAGCATATGCTCCCAAACAACTTTGAGTGGAGTCGTTCGAAAAGAAGTTTCTATGGCCCCCTTGCTCATTTAACACTGCATCCGGGTGCCGATGGAGATACAGCGACCCTTGCTCACTTATCACTGTGCTCAGGCCACACAGCGCGCCACTTACGGGTGACGCCCTAGCTTTAGCGCGATTTTGTTCTGGATTCATTTTCATAAGGATTCGACGTGATCATGGAGTGCCGGCTGTCGACTACCTGACGCCCTCCCCCTCCTCCTTTATCCGGGCTTGGGACCGGCCATGTAAGACATAGGCGGAGTTAATTAAGCAAACAATGTTTTATTTTGAATTGAATGATATGAAAAGAGAAGAGCTTTGGTGTTGACTTGCCTGAAAGTCTAATGCTAGAATTTGAAAGTGCTAGAATTCGGAGGTTATAACTTGAAAAGGCTGTGTGTGAAGAAGACTCACTGGTCCAACCCAAGAACACAAGGCACCATCTCAACCTTGACAACTCAGAGCTGACACTAAGAGCCAAATTCCAAATTCTTTGTACCTGTGCAGCTGTTTTTATTCTAAATTCCAACAGATGAGGAGTCTAAATATTCCATGAACTTGAAGACAAAACACCACCGATCCAGTTGTATATATTTTTTATTTGTCCTTCAGTACTTTAAGGCTAATAAATGCTTCTTTGGTGAGAAATAACACAGAGGAGCGGCTATGACACATCGTATGTTTAAGTTTAATATCTTACCCTCACCCTTCATTCAATGCTTTGAACCAAACTGGAGTATGTAATTAACAAGGTTATGCTGCACTCCCACCTTGATCAGTTGACTCAAAAGCTTCACAGATTCTTCCAAATTTCCTTGCTTATAAAGACCATTGATCAATGCAGAGTAAGTGATAACAGAGGGAGCAATCCCTTTTCGAATCATCTCATTCCAAAATTTAAACGCTTCCACAGTATTTCCAATTCTGCTGTATCCACCAATCATTATATTGTAGGTAACATCATTAGGAACTAACTTCTTTCGGTTAAGTTTATGGAAAAGCCTCTGTGCTCTATCCAAATTTCCTGATTTGGACAAGCCATTTATAAGAGCATTATATGTGGTAATGTTAGGAACAAGATCCCCTTTCAGCATTTCATCTCGTAAGTTGAAAGCCTCAGTCACATTACCAGCAGCAGCCGTGGCATTGATTAGGGTGCAATAAGTAAAGTTGTCTGGAGAAATACCACTGAGCAATAATGACGATATTAATTTCCTTGCATCAGCAACTTTCCCTGATCTGCAGAGCCCCAAGATAGCAATATTGTATACAACCGGGTTGGACAGAGAGAAACTTTCAGCACTTTCATCAAGAGAATCTGCAAATTTTTGAATTTCTTGATTTCTACTGCCAACTTTGCAAAGCTTCGAAAAACATTGCTGATCTGAAAAAAAATCAAAATCCAATAGCTTCTGCAACAGACTATTTCCTTCATCAATCCTACCAAGCCTATACAGAGTACTGACAACTTTGCTGCAAATAATTAAATTGGTGGTGAACCCTTTGTCAATCATCTCAAAATATGAACTCAAAGCTTTATCCAGCATCCCTTCATTGCACCAACCAGTGATCAGGGCTCCATATGTAACAATATCCGGGGTTAATCCCCTTGTCTGCATCTCAGCAAGAAGACCATTCACTTTACTTAATTTCCTGGACATAAAGACACCATTGATGAGAGAATTGTACATTTCAATGGAAGGAAGTATTGCTTGCCTTTCCATCAAACTCTTAACTTTGAAAGCTTCTTCAACGTTCCCAATTTTACAGTACCCATCACTCAGGGTTCTATAAGTCATCTCATCAGGTAAACATCCTAGCTCCTTCATCTTTTCGAAAACCTCTTCCGCTTCAACCATTTTTCCCATCTTGCATAACCCATTAATCATTGTATTGAAAGCAAACTTACTTTTGGTAAAACCCTTTGCTAGAATATCTTTCCACAGAGTTATAGCCCCATCAAGATCTTCCTTCTTCAAAACCCCATCAAGCAGAGAACAATAGCTAACCTCGTCAGGAGCCAACCCTCTTTTCAACATTAGATGCCAAAGATGCAAGGCATCATCAAAAGCACCCGCTTGACATAAACCCTTGAGAAGCGTATTATAAGTTATAACAGTGTGATGGATTCCTTCCTGAAGCATCTCATCAAAAAGCTTCAATGCATCACTTGTCTGACCTTTCTTACAATACCCATCCATAAGGGTATTATAACTATAAGAATCAGGGTTTAAGTTCCAATATCTCATCCGCAACAACACTCCCTCCGCGTCACGAACTTGACCGACCTTGCAGTACCCATTGATCAAGGAGTTGCAAATGAAAATATTCATACTTAAACCCATGGTCAACATCTCATCCCGAATCCTAATAGCATCATCAATTCTGCCAGCTTTACAATACCCATCTAACAAGACGCCATAAGCAAGTTCATCCACAACCACAAACTCGTCCCCCTCCTCCTCCTTCATACCTCGAAGCACCTTCTCCGCTTCCTCCATCTTACACTGCTTGCAGTAACCCTTAATCAACAGTGTATAACTCACCACATTTCTCTTAATTCCTTTCTCAGACATCAACCCCAACACCAATCGGGCTCCTTCAACATCTCCCGAACTGATGTACCCATTAATCAAACTATTGTAAGTCACCACATTTAATTCAAAACCCAAACTTTCCATCTCTTTGACAAACTCCGCCGCTCTACTCAGCCTCCCCTCCTTACAATACGCATTCACCATTATCGAACAGGTATAAACATCGGGAACAATCCCCAACCTAATTATCTGCTCATACACAAGCAATGCATTGAAACATTCACCGTTTCTGACCAAATTACTCAACAATGAATTACAAGACCTCAAACTAGGAACTCGACCGCACTTACCCATATTATCAAACACATGAAGTGCACACTTGGTCATGCCCTTCTCAGCAAACACCTTGAGAACCATGTCGAAAACCGTTGGAGAAAACGTAAATTCCCTGTAAACGCGAACAAGCTCATCCCAGACCACGAATGCTGAACAATGGTTGTTGCAGAGACGGACCAACTCGTTCAAATACGCTCTGGTTTGGTCGTGCATTCCAGCTCTGGACAAGATATGAACAATCATACAGTAAGACTTGAGGTTGGGCCTGAACTTGTGCTGCTTGGAAGCCAATTTGAAAAAGGCTAAGCAGGCGGCGGGGTTGAGCTTCAGTTGGCGGAGGACGGTGCTGAGGAGGCGGTCGGAGAAGTCAAAGGAGAGCTGGTGAAGGGCGTCGTAGCGCTGGAGGAGGAGGAGGCGGGATATGCGGTCGTGTAACTGGGGGCGGGTGAGCTTGTACTCGTCCCGGAGCTTCCAGTGGGGTGTTCGGGACACGTGGAGGGACCTGCGCGCGAAGTAGCAGATCATTTGGTTCGGCTGAGGACGGAGTAGTCTGGCGATGGCAATTTCACTCCCTAATCGCTCCCCGGCATTTCGTTTGAATTCAGCTTCTTAAATGAAACGGGTAGGTTGAAATTTTTTATTTTATTGTTTGGTTAGGACTTTTAATATTTAATTTTATATAACACTAATAATTTACTCTAAATTCTCAACCCTGAAAAGGGAGATCCGATCTCGGGTGCATAGGGACCGAGCAATGCCACTCTGATCATCAACATCTCTTGGTACACAGTATTATTATTCAAGTTCAATTTCAATTTCAATTTCATTAGAAATGATATTCAGCTTCTAATTACACACATAAGCACTTTTAGGGGAAACATGCTTCAATTAATCACATTAGTACATACTACACTTTTGTATAAATATGATACAACTTATTTATACCGGAAGAAGAACAGAACTAGAAGCAGTGGCACAAAATCTCATCCCCTTCAATGACCTTTTTTGAACTTAAATTAACTTTCGGCTTTAGTTTGGCCTACACAAAGGAAAGGAAAGAAAGCTTTACCAAAAAAAAAAAAAAAAAAAAAAAAAGCAAAGGAAAGAAGAACAAAACTACAAGCGCTGGCACAAAAACAGTATACGGAGACTATTCGGGAGAAGACTGTCCCGAGTTCATACTCAGTATTCTTTCCGCAAGTAATAAATCATCCGGCGTTGTCACCTGCAAAACCAAAACACCAGCATCGTTGCATTACATAGTATTAACCAACTTTCCAAATACACCGAGAAACGTTTACGTCCGACGTTGGAACTGGACTGCTTAACATTGCTTAACAGTCAAAGAATCAAGCTTGAATTAGGATACATGTTTCACTACCTTGATGTTGGTATAAGATCCTTGAGTGATGTACACGGGATGCTTAAGGTGCTCAACAATAGACACGTCGTCAGTCACTTCAAGCCCTTCTCTGCGGTAAGCACAATTTGTTCAGGATTTGTATACCAATCATATTTAAGTTGACGGACAAAGATACTTACAAATTATAATTAGGAGCCCACATGAAAAAAAAGTGAAATATGGAGAAAATTATAGATGGCCGACAGAATATTAAGTTTCACTCATACACCGACGACAATTTCAAAATAACATAAACAACAAACATCAGCCTCTCAAGGGAACGCTCTGATATATTCAGTGCCTCAACATTTATCAACATGGCCTCATTATGCTAGTTTGGCATTCTTTAACAATCAGTATGCGACTAAATTGTGCACCATGAATTAGTTAGTAGTTAGTACCTATTGACAAGCTCAAAACCCTCTCTGAGCAACTCAGGTTTGATGACCTGTAGGAATTGATCAGCATTCTAAATTAGGTCCTCAAACGATCAACTAAGATATATAAGTTAAGGAGCAAACCTGGGGTGTCTGCATTTCCCAAAGTGTTCTCCTGTCAAGGGTTTTGACTACAAAAGATTCACTGTTTGCCTGCATATAAAAATGGAAAAGAAAAATAAAGCACACGAATAAGCTCATCAAGTTTTGGTTCAATCTAATCGATTGACGAAAGTCAAGTTATTTGGAGGACTGACACGGTGAATTGCTCGTTGGTGTAGCAATGTGTAGTTAGACTGGAAAGTAACAATAAAACAAAAGGTTCTGCTACCCCCAATTAAGATTGCAATTCCATACATTTCCAAAGTGCACTTTCCGAAATCTAGACATGGTATTATTTATGTGGTCTTCAAGTAATGGCCATCACAGAGTCAAGGAAGACCATTTCAAAGTCAATTAATGGCGATCCTCTGAGGAATGGAGCATCGTAACATGGTGACAAAAGATGGGAACAGAAAACTACCACTAGTTGAAAGAATCTTCTGTAAGGTCTATGTCACACTACTATGTCAAATGTGGAGTTGAACTGTTGAGTAAAAAAACATAATATCCTTTGATACAACCAAACTACAAAGGAAGCATGAAACTAGGAGTTTCAAGATACGTATTAAATGTGTTTCACTGAAAAGAGACCAAAGAGATACTAAACGGACACAGCTTTAGCATAAATATTACTAAACTGAAGGTAGTACCTCTTTGATTGTAGCTTTTACTGGAACACCAAGTACGGCTGCACCATTTAAGCAGCCATCTTTGAGAACCTAAAGGCATACAGTTCCAACTCTAATCATTCTTTTAAATATCCAAGGGAAGAGTCCGACTTAAGAATACAAACAAATAAACAACCATGCATAAATTAAATGTTTTACCGTACATATAAATGCCTAAATCTAACAACTAGAACCCACATAAAAATTTCCATTTCTTTTATTCTTCTTTATATATTTTTGAGAGAGACCAACTATGACTGGACATATTGACTCCAGCACTCAGAATGTGCAAGGAAACGGCCAACTGTGACAAACTATTTACAAGTATCTAATTAATTCAGACAGTGATTTATTTCAATAAGTAGAACTGCTCTATACCAAACGATGTACTAAGTGTGATATATTTCATATGTGTTCTTTTACATATTGAACTCAATTGGTAGCACTGGTCTATAACCTCCAAAACCATAATCCAGAAGGAACGCATAAGTACATAGTACACTACATAATGAAAGTCAATGCACCATTAAGTACGTATAGTCAACAGACAATAAAAGCCAATGCGCTAGATGTGAGCAGGGAAAGAAATCTGCATCTCAAACCTTTGCTGCATCTCCTGATGCTACCAGAGGTCTAGCAGAATCATGGATACAAACAAGCTCCGAGGTCAAATCAATTGCCTGTCCACAGAAGAATTGTATTCAATCATAAGAAGATAAGTTTATGCTCCCAATAATAGTCATACATCAGCTTCATAATTAAAATATAAAATAAAAAATAAAAAAGCACCAAACGATCAATGCAATTGTATATATCAATGCGATTTCAAAATAAATAAGAAGAAATCATTGACTTCTGTCTTGTTACTAACCGGTTACAATGTGCAAGACAAATACAGAAAAATGGAAGAATATCTGTTCATAACAACAACGAACAAACTTCAAAATAAAAAATAGAGAATAGGCCTAATGGCACTATCACTCCAGAGAGTGTCGTTACAGAAGGATTTTTTGGTTGCCCTTGAAGAAGATTTCAAAATTCATCTGGAAAAAGTTAAATTCAGGCTTCGGGCTACCTATATCAATCTCACATTTCTCACACTGAGGCTTAGGGATTAAAGTGAAAAAGCTTCCTGCAAAATAGGATAAAGTTGCATTCCCACTGAGAAGAAAACTTTCAACAAACTTCAATGATTGAACCAAAGTTTCATTACAGAAGCGTTGTCCCGAAAGAACAATAGACAGCCTTCTCAGTTTCATATATCAAGTAAGGTAATGCAACAGACATTGAGATAAAGCAGAGCCAAGACTTCATTATAATTTTAAATCAGATAGATTTTGTTTCTATATAGAGCCTTTGGCAACAAATGAGAGGCCTTTACAAAATGAAAGAGGCTTTTTAATTCTTGATTAACAATGGAAAAGAAAGAATCTCTGTGCACCTGGAGTCCACTGTAAACCGAATCTTGTCTTTCCTTCCCTGGTAGTGTGAATTTAAGTTCCTTCTGGATCTTATGTTTGGCGTCTGAGAACATGACCAACCAAATTAGTTTAAATGTCTCCTGCATCACTACACCGAATATATAAAGCATGCCAAGCCAAGAGGCAATGCATTTACAAGGAGGGCCAGAGAGCGAGGATTATAACCTTCAAAAACATCCTTGTAGGAGGGATCACAAACTACAATTATTTCCTTGACTTCAATCATTTGGGAGAAAGTGTAGAAGCTGCATGGAATCCAAAATATCATTCAGAAGAGCATAAGATTTGTATCCGCGGAAAAAAAAAATAAGAGAGTAGAAAGTCAATTAATATTTCCACGTGACATGAATAAAAAACCTACACAAGAGAATCTGAAAAGGACTATTGCAACTAGAACTATAAAGACACAAAGAGGTCAGGTTTCAGTCACAAAAGAGTAACTGTGTCTAGAAATTGGCATCCAATAATCCACCAACTCAAACTTGGTATTGTAGGAACTTTTGGCATCTACAAGCAACTGGGTCTTGCAACCAAATAGTCCAAAGCACCAAGGTTCATTCATTTTATAATCCTTCTAAAGTTACAAAATGAAAGTGCTTATTCATCATTATAATGAACCAGATAAACATTCAGCTAATTAAACAAAATGACGCATTGTAGTTGGTTTGATAAGTGGTTTGACTGAGAGAGTGTGAGTCAGTTACCTGTATAATGCAATTGGCTGGCCTAAAAGGGGAAGATATTGCTTTGGCAAGCTGGCCTAGTAGCACAAACATAACGAGAAAACATGATCATCTTGTGGGACTGGAATGACAACCAAATCCATAGATGAAGGTGATGGGGATTCTATTTCATCCATATGCATTATGCAGAAAAATGCAGATGAAGAAGAGAATCTGACGATCTAAATGGGGAATGTGAAGAACTTACACCCATCCTTTTGCCCTGCCCTCCAGCCAAAAGAATCACCGACACGCTCTTCTCTTTCACTATTGATCTAGTCTCTGGTTTCTGCATTATCAAGTAAACCATTTACAAAAGTGGTGGTGATAATTGAACAAAAAAGAAAGGGAAATATGAAGATACATCTTCATTGGCAACTTTCGCAGAGATTCTAGTATGCAGGGCCTTAGCCTTAGCCTTAGCCTTGTGCCTGAAACTGAATTGTTTGCCTGAGAGACAATAGAAGCATGCAAGCATATAGCTAATTAATTAATTATTAAACAATTAAGCATACAAAACAAATGTTTGAATCAATGAATTTGAAAGGAGTAATTTAATGAGATAAAAAAGACAAGAGCTTTGCCTGCATTCCCAATGCCTGCTTCTGCTGCTGCTGCAAGTCTAAGTCTAAGGCCTCCTCCTCCTCCTCCTGCTAACTTTGAAAGTGGTGGGATTCGGAGGTTATCATTTGAAAAAGCTGCTGAGGAAGACACATTGAGACTGAGGACGTCCATGTCTCAACCCACAGACCTCAAAACCTCACCCTTCCTTCCTTCCTTCCTTCCCTCCCTGTGCCTCTCTGTCTCTGCAGCACCTCTCTCTTTTTTTTATTCAACACAAGAGATGAGGAGGATTCTGTCTGTATATTCC